CACAAATCTGTATTACTCATACAAATTCAATTAGCTGCTGGAGAAACCAGATGGTTACCAAGTAACAGCATTCTCCTCTCTCCCTTCCCTTCCACATACCCTGAACTGTGGGTTGTCCTTCAGTGATCTTCCTAAAATGCCAGCATAAAATTAGAGACACCAGGAGATGAGGGAGGGATGGTGGGATTGGGAGGGAATGAGGGAAGGGGCTACGGCTGGAATACAAAGTAAATAACCTGTGATTAATATAAAAAGTAAAAATTATTATATATAAAAAAAAGAATTAGAGACACCTAGAAGCTAACACCCATGTTAGTTTGAAGGTTACTCCTGAAGCAGTGCTCCTGAAGGTTAGCACTGCTGCCAACTTCAACACAGCCCTTGAACTTAGGTATCTTCCTCTATAGCATTTGTTCCTTGCACACTCTTGGCAGGGGTTTAGGGAGTTCTTATATGAAAAGTGCCCAAAACATAACAAAAGATGATAAATATTAGGTCTCACCTCACATATCGCTTACGTCTCCTTTTGGGGTTCCCTTTTAATCAGACTTCATTAGCACAATTGCTGGGGAGACAGGGAACAAAGTTGAAAGTTTGTCTTTTGCCTCCAAACTGCCCCTTCTGGCTCACCCCTGCCCCATATACATGTAACACTGTCCCCTCCCATTAAAACAAGATAATTTGTCTCAAGTTCAAACAAACATCTAACCTGCAGTGCTTCCACACGGAAATGTCATTTCTTCCCTAAGGAAGAAACCACAACTACTGATTCTCAGAAGATCTCAAGGACCAACCAACGTTCACCCCGGGGAAACAAGGAGTTGATAAGGCTTCTTTACAGATCATGAGTGCGGAGTTCCTGACAGGAGCACAGGAGGCACACTAGGAAGTATTCAGCAGCATGGATGATAACTTCCCAAGAGCTGCATATTTGGAATTCTCTGAGTTCATCTTCTCCGGCATATATATTCCACACCTCCTGAGAACCTAAGGCCACAGGCAAGAAGAACAAAACTTGGATGAACAGCTGGAACCTCAAGTGGAGGTCCAGTGATCCTCTCCAACTCCCTCCTCTGAGGGAGCCGTCAACAGATTCACTCTTGCTAGATCTGATCTTGCTGATCTGATAAAAATGGTGGCTGGCTTGCTCAGAGCACCAACTTCTAGAAACCAGGAAGAGGAGTGGGGAGAGGGGTGCTTTATTCCTTTCAACTGGATCTTGGCATATTACTTTAACAAATAATTATTTCTACCTAGTTAATTATTATTTTTCTTCTGGAGTTTTAATTAAAAGTATCCCTTGATCTGAAAAGACCAAGGCCCTGTCAGCCATTAATAAGTGAGATACCTTTCATTTTAGATTACAATCATGAGTAGTCTGAATGAGCAGAAATTGCCAATAGATTTTTTTTCTTTTCTTTTCTTTTTCAGTTAAATGTGGAAACCAAAAAACAATGAAATTAGATAGCTTTTGTTGTTTCCTTGATGAACTTGGAAACTTTGCCTTAAAATGATTCTTTGAACAGAGAATAGAAAACTAGCTTAGGCAATTTCAAACATCCTTTTTAAAGGCAATGAAACAAGTTTCTCCCTTTCTTAGACTTGTTTGTTTGCTTGGTTGGTTGGTTGGTTGGTTGGTTGGGGTTTTGTGTGTGTTTTGTGTGTGTGTGTGTGTGTGTGTGTGTGTGTGTGTGTGTGTGTGTGT